CACATCCCTTCATTTATTTTGCCATGGTTATGAACGATTCTGGAGTCAGAGTCTCACGCTCTGCGGCAACCATGTCTGCCTCCATAGCTACCAACACTGGCGTTGCCAACGCGGATGACTCTGGTGAGTCTGACACAACCCCTCCCCCCACCATGGCCCCTACATGCCTCAATCCCTCTGCCCCTCCTGTTCCTCTAGCTTGGTGTCGCGGGTCCCCGCTATGGCGACAACAACAGTGGGATTCATAGCTGTCTCTCACCCCCAAAGCCGCCCACCCTCCCCCCTAAATTATTTCCTGTCACCATCATAAGAAAAAGAAAAGAAGAGGCAGAACAAAGAAAAATCCCTCCTAGTCGAAACCTTCCATGTCACTCACGCCTTTGACTGACCGTCGTCCAGCGTCGACAATTACTGTCAATACCGCCAAACCCGCCCCAAACAATTTCCCGCCCCCTAAAACCGACAAGCCTCGCCCTCATGTCTGCGGGACATGTCAGCGCTCTTTTGCTCGATTAGAACATCTCAAGCGCCATGAGCGCTCCCACACCAAGGAGAAGCCGTTCGAGTGCCCTCAATGTGCGCGATGCTTCGCCCGTCGTGACTTGCTGCTCCGCCACCAGCAGAAGCTTCACCAAACATCGACGCCTTCCTCCCGCCCACGAAATCGACGCGAGTCTACCAGTGGTGCCACTCCCGCTCAGAGCCGGGCCCGAAAGAATAGCGTGGCAAATGCTGCAGCGAGTGCCAATGCAGCGGCCAACACCATGCGCCCGAGGGCCAACACCATAAGCCATGTTGATCAGAACACGATGCAACTCATGGCCAATGCTGTTGCCCCCGCCAACAGGATGCAGCCCACCCACAACCGTCATCCCAGTCTTGCTGGTCTCCCTATTCATGGTTTCGACCATAGCTTCGCCGGCATGGCTGCTGCTATGGGTCAAAGGGGAGCATTCCATGGCCTGCCCAAGATCGAGACCGCGCAACCCAACCTCCCCGGCGACTTCAGCAGCGGGTTGAGGACAGCGCCCCCCATTGCTGCCCTGAGCCATGACTTTGACTTTGAGCAGCTTCTATACGGTGGCACTATGTCCTCGACCATCAACCCCAACGCTCTCCACTACAATGACTCGCCCCCCTCCATGGCGCTGGACACCTCTTCATTCCCCTCCTCCCTGACCGACATGTCGGCGAGCCAGCCCTTCGATGATAGTTTTGACTGGTTGACAGGATTTGAAAACCAAATGTCCTTCAACACTGAGAATGTGGTGGAGGAATCGAGCCCATCGGCGATTAGCACAACAAGCCAGAGTGGGATTAGCGATGTAATGTTGGATGGGTCGAACCACAAGGCACCGGCTGGAACGAGCGCCATGTGGCAGGCCTCACTTATGGCACCTCCCCAGATGCCAAATCCGTTTTCGTTGGATATCAATGGGTCAGTCTTTCCGGATCTCCTAAACGGGGCTCCTTTGTCACCTCAGCCAGCACCAGCTACAACTTCTCAAAAGACCAATGACCCATACTTGTCCACGCCCTCATCCGCGATGACCTCCCTCGTATCAGGCCTGACAGCTCACCAAACCATGAACCACACCCTTGGCTTCAACGCCCTCCCAGAAACGCCCTCCCCGCTGAGTGGCGGGAACCATGGTGCCGCCTCGCCTGTGACAACAATAACAGATTCCACCAGGATTACCATCGTGAACGCCTTGTCCCAGTGTTTGCCCTTTGGCGGCCGTAAATACTCATTTGGTTCGCAGGGCCGTTCGCAATCCCCGGGAGTCCAGTCCGTGCCCGGCCAAACACACAACCTGCCCAGTACCCAGGACCTCCAGCGATATGTCAGAGCTTATGTTTCCTACTTCCATCCTCATATGCCTTTTCTCCATCTTCCTACACTCTCTTTTGACCCGCAGTCCTCCCAAAATGTTCACACAAATGGCGTAGGTGGTAGTGGTTGCCTAATTCTTTCCATGGCCGCAATTGGCGCCCTTTACGAGATGAACCATACCCAGTCCCGAGAACTCTTTGAAAATTCTAAGAAATTGATACTCTTCTACCTCGAGGAGCGGCGCAAGGCCGACGTGCGCAAAGCAGACGTCCGGCGAAGCACCTCCGGCGTTGACAATTCTAACCCAATGGACGAAGGAGGGAAGCACACACCGGTTTGGCTCGTACAGGCGATGCTCCTCAATGTCGTCTACGGACACAACTGCGGCGACAAGACGGCAAGCGATATCGCCTCGACCCACTGTGCCGCACTCGTCAGCTTGGCTCGGGCCGCGGACCTCTTGCGCCCAACGGAACCGCATCCTTCTGGACAGGACACTGCCATGGACGACAGCAGCTGGAAGATCAAAACGGAGAGCGAAGAGCACGAGGAGTGGCTGCAGTGGAAAACCGCGGAGGAGCGTAAGCGAACCCTGTTTACTGTTTTTGTCTTGTCTAGTATACTTGTAACTGCCTACAACCACACCCCAGCTCTGACCAACTCGGAAATCTTCCTGGATCTCCCCTGCGAGGAGGAATTCTTCTCGGCTGAGACGAGTGCTGCTTTCGCCGCCAAGGGTGGCGTCGCAGCTGCCAACCGCAACACCCTGACCTTCCATGATGCGCTTGGCGAACTGCTCCGAACCAATGAGAGGCAGCAACATATCATGAACGTCACGGGCTTCAGTCCCACTGAAAACGAGCTACCGAAGACAGATATCAAACCGAGCACGCTTGGGTGCCTCCTGCTCATCTACGCCCTCCACAACTATATTTGGGAGACGCGACAGCGTCATCACAACAAAACTTGGACCAACGAGGAGACGGAAAAGATGTACCGACACATCGAGCCTGCCCTCAAAGCCTGGCAAACCGCATGGGCAAGCAACCCCCATCACAGCGTTGAGCTCCCGAACCCATTCGGTATGGGCCCACTATCTGCCGATGCTATCCCACTTCTTGACCTTGCATACGTCCGTCTATTCGTGAATCTTTCAAGGTCCAAGGAGAGGTTCTGGCAGAGGGACTGGGACGGCGTGGCCGAAGAGTTGGCGCGAGGCTCTGAAATCATCCAGCACGCCGTTCAGTCCCCACTCGGCTCAGACGCCATGGCTATTGAGGATAGCGACAAGCAGCAAGCTGATGGCCTCAACAGCCATGGCATGTCTCGCCGCGAGAAACACCTTCGGAAGGCTGCCTCGTATGCCGCGGACTCGCTTGCCATGTCCAACAAACTTGGTGTGACATTTGCCGATCTGACCAGCCGCGAGTTGTCACTGCAGTCGGCCATTTGTGCTTTCGATTGCGCACAGGTCCTGGCCGAATGGATCGCAACGCTGCAAGATCGGGTTGGGCAGTACCTCGGCATACTGGGCCAGGACAACATGGACCTCACCCAGGTTCCTGCCATTGTGCTCCTCGAGGACGAGGACATCAAGCTCTTGGCCCGTGCCAACGAAGTTATTACCTCGATAGAACGGAAGGTCAACCTGGACCAGGGGGTATCTCCGGAAGAGCACATGGGCTATGCGACAAGAATCCTGCGGCTCACGGCATACTCATTGGAAAAATCTGCGGTCTGGCCCGTCTTTCACCTCATGGCACGATGCCTAGAGACACACGCCGGCCATACTCGGGCCAGAGCTGAGAAGTCAGTGGCTCAAATGGAATGAGTGATAGCCAGCGTTTCACAAATGGGCATGTAAGGTGTGATCTGGCGAACGTTTTAGTGGCCTTGATTGAACGAATGAACCATGTGACGACAAAAAGTCGGTCGGCAGGCGTTGGCATGTTTTAAACCGCGTGATCTTTTCTTTTCATTCCCATTCCCATCTCGTTTGACATTCTTGTTTCTTTTGACTACGACGGGCGACAAGGTATCGGCGATCCTGCTTTCTGGGGCGTATTTTGTTTTATTCTACTGCAACGAGTGTAACGGTTCAAACATGCACGAACGGAGCGAACGGACGTATGAAGCTATGCAAGAGCTTTTAGAAGCAATTCAATGTTGTACATAAGCTGTCCAAAAATGGAATGTGTTATTAGTGTCTAAACTGGCTTGTTGATGAACACGTGGAATGAGATTGGTGGTTAATTGACTTTCGTAGCTCAGTGAACGAAAGGAATTGAGTTTGCTATGCTCCATGGTAGGGTAGTTGGTAACTCGGCAATCACAGCTTGGCCATCGCCCATGATGCATTTTCCCCGAATTTATCAGCTTTTAATTAACCTCTGGAGATACAGTAGCTCATTTATTTTAAACGAGGCTCGATCGCATTTCTCTATCATCACATCTGGCCTGCCAAAGCGGACACACACCTCTGGTCTCTAAGGTAGTGTCTTGTTGGAAGCTATCACACACGCAAGTCTCATGACTGTACTGAATTCACATATTTGCTGTATATAAACACTTCATAATGAAAGTCCAACGTATCTGTTTACCCAGCTTATTTCGCCTAGAGGCTGGTATGTGACACAGCCGCAGAGGACGCCAGAGGGCACTGCTGACGGGGAGGACGGACACAAAAGTGAGAAGACCACACAACATCAGCGAGCCAGATGACCAGGTGAGAGGGTAATTCACCCGCATAAACACCAACGTTGGCCAGTATATCTGGCCGTGACAATCGTCGCTGATGCTCATAATACATAGTAGAGAGACGACAGGCGCTAATTTATTAAGTTCCATAATGTGCATAACATCCAATTGACAATTGACAGGGCGGTTTAGTTTATTGGCATATGGAAGCTGTAGGTATTTAGGCGGGGTCAGCTGCAGCCTAGCTTCTGAATCGGGCAATGACGAAACGCTCCTGAGGCATAGTCGAGGCGTTTTTGGTGGAACTTGGTATCATATATACCTTCTGAGAGAATAACCTCAGTGGCTGTTCAACTTCTGTGTCCTTCTTTCATCAACTTACTTGAAGCCGCCAATAATCTTGTCGTGCTACAGCTTTAACTCAAACCCACCATATCGCATCACGGCTCTACGAACAGGGAGTTGACAAATGGCCAGCGAGGCTCTTGATTTGGCGAATCCGCCGGCAGGAGAGACTGCAGACCAGGATGCCGGTTTGCTCCTCCTTCCATCGACACAGTACGTGCCACCTCCTGTGCCCACGAATACAGCCCGGGGACCCGACAAGGCGGCGACTGCTGCGAGTGCCCGGTCGTCTGAGCTGCCTTCTGTTGTCCCCAGCCCGGTCACAGACCTGGGACCTGCCCCGGAGTTCCGCTTTACGTTCCCGGACAGGCTGAAGGGCTGGGACAAGTCTGTTGCCGCGTGGCTCCAGGAGAACAACAAGTACTTCTCCGGCGTGGCGGCGTCGGCCGTCGTCTTCAAAGGGGACCGGGTGCTGGTGCTGCAGCGGGCGCCGCACGACAGCATGCCCCTCCAGTGGGAGCCGCCCGGGGGTGGCGTGGACCCCGAGGAGACGGTACTGGTCGGGTGTGCGAGGGAGCTGTGGGAGGAGGCGGGCTTGGTGGCCTCGCGGGTGGTGAGGGTGGTGCCGCCGCCGGATGGTGACGAGGTCGAGAGCGCGGAGAGGGAGGACAGGGATCTCGGGATTCCGTTCTCGAGTAGGACGGGGGACAAGTTCTATTACAAGTTCACGTTCGAGGTGGAGGTGGAGGATGTTGGGGCCGTGAGGAACGATCCGAACGAGCATGTGAGCTGGATGTGGTTGACGGAGGAGGAGGTTGAGAACTGTCGAACTTCAAACGGCAGCGCTGTCTCTTTCACAATGAGCACGGTGAGGAAACAGTTGCTGGGGGCTTTTGCTTTGAGGAAGGCAGATTAGAGACTGATTTGGTTTATTTTATGCATGGGTTTTTATATGGATTGCGGGAGGCTGCCTCAGGATAGGTAGACAACCTATGATATGTACATCAAATAACGATTTATGCTAGACGATTAGCGAACTCTGATCTGCACCATTGCAGGCGTTCTGTTGAAAAAAATAAATCCATGTCTAAGAAACAATTCCGACCGAGCTGCTGCAACAAATATCCCCCAACCCTTCTTCTTGTGCCCGACATTCGTTCCCTTCCCTGGCCCATGCCTATGGTCACCGCGGCACGCCAGTTCTCGACCGCACAGAGGGGGTAGCCTTATATATTACTTCCCCGGGAATCTCTTTCAACAATAGCCCCTGTGGCGCAGTGGTCAGCGCGCTCCGATGCTGCCTTCCCGTGATGTACTCACTCTGCAGAGTGACTAGCTACCCACGAGTCTTTCCATATCTCAAGAGGTATGGATAGAGCATGGGTATGGTAGGACAGGAAGGGGTACGTTACGGGAGCCGCGGAGAGGTCCTCGGTTCGACTCCGAGCAGAAGCAATTCTTTTTTGGTCATTTTTGCTTCTGGGTTTCCGAATTGCATGCTGGTCCAAGTACCGTGATGTGTATCACGCCCTGGCCACCTCGCTCTCTCTTCATCCTTGCTGATGATGGGGCAAGTATGGGATATGCATCCTGGCAAAGTGATGATTGTTCTTCCTTGATATTTTCCCATCTCGTCCAAGTCTGTTGTTGGGCAGGATGCTTGGGCTAATTATTTATTAGATTAGAACGTTGGAAACTCATACTTGGTTTCGGTATTGTGACAACCACCAGTGTGCAACAACCACTCCCGGGATGGTGACAGTGCCCTAGAGTGTAAGAAGTGCACCGCGGATGCGATTTCGAGCACATTCGCTCCAATATACAGGCTAGTCGAGAGATTCATCTCATTTCCAATGCCAGTGACCATGAGTTAAGAAGTGTGGCAAGAGGACTCCAGCATCGCAGCACCAACAACCACAATGCCGCCTCCCCACAGGAGCATGGTACGGCCTTTTGTGCAAGTACTGTAAATATTGTATCATTTCCTGGCTAAAATTGGCATCAAAAGTTATCGGGAGATTGTGTTGTACAAATAAAACCGGAGAAATATCCCACCCAACACCCGCTTTAAACACTTTAAAAAGTTTCCATGTTCGTGGGCGCGGTCGCCGCCCACAGCCCCCAATCAAACTGAGCCTCGTCAATCATGTCGTTCCAGGGCGGCGGCGCCACGCCGCCAAACGAGTTGTAGTTGGCGGGATTGCTGTAGTCCATCCCCCCCGGCAGGCCCATGCCGCCCGCCGCCGCAGCCCCCGGCGTCTGCGTGGAGCTGGGCGTGGACCCGTTGGTGGTCAGGCCGATCTTGTCGCGCAGGATCTCGACGCAGGCGGGCACGGGGGGCTGCTGGCCGTGGAGGGCGACGAGGAGGGCGGCCTCCCTGGCCCTCCAGGCCTTGAGGACGAGGGTGCCCAGGCCGAAGTTCCACGGCTGGGACATGTTGGCGAAGTCCTCGAAGAAGAGGTAGACGTCCTCGATGATCTGCCAGGCGTGGTCGACGAGGGTCCCGCTGGTGCGCTGGCAGACCTGGCCGACGAGGTAGAAGAAGCCCTTTTGGGAGAAGAACATGCGGAGGAACCAGCGGAAGTTCTTGTCGTGGAGGCTGCGGCACACGTCCATGGCGTGGCCGATGTCGAGGATGACGAACTCGAAGAGGCGGTCCTGGGGGGAGGCCGAGCCGCCCTCGGCCGGTACCTGGCTGGTGGAGAGGAGCATGTCTCTGAGTTTCCCGGAGAAGGAGTACCGCAGCTTGTCCGCGAGCGCGTGGATGGGGCCAGCCGAGGGGAGCGAGAACTTGGCCATGGTCTCGTCCAGGGCCTGGTCGATGGCCTTGAGCTTTGCGTCAAGGGGAGGTGGGATGGTGGAGGTTGGGGGGCCGTCGATGCCTAGGACTTGAGCCTCGTGCTGGAAGATGGTGCTTCCGAGTCCCGGGGTCTTGATGAGGAACTCGCCCATGCGGAAGGTGAGCAGGCATACGATCATCTCGGTCGGACCCTGGCGGTCGGTGAAGTACTGGGTGGCGCCGGGATTCATGTCCGAGTCGTTGAGGTTCGTTGGGAGTTTGCTGTCGCAGTACCGGGGCAGCAGGGAGGGGGCCAGCCCGGTGCTGAAAGAGGAGTGGAGGTCGAGCATGACAATCTGCCACCATACGCGGCGTCTCATCTCGGTCTCGAACGGGGGGAGGCCGAGGGTCTCGCCGTCCCTGTGGACACCCAGACCTTGAGCGATGCGGACGCACAGCCCGTTCAGGATCCAGGAGGCACGTGGGTTGCTGCGACCATGGGCCGATAACTACTCGGGAGTTAGCAAGCATGAAGAGAGTAAAAAAAGAGTGTGATAAGAAAGACGCTACTTACCATTTGAAGTACTACGGCCTGGAGTGTGGTCAGGTCATTGTTTCTTAGGAACGAATGGCGATGCAGGATTGACCTCCCTGCCGAGGAGAATCTACGGACGGCATCATCCCGCGTACAGCTCATGAGAGCCATGCATTCCTCTTCGTCCAGCGAGATGACCGAGATCTGGCAAATCGCAAAGAGCAGCGCCTGGATGTTCCAGGGCTGCCCTCCAAAGTTGCCGGTGGCATCGACTACGTAGGGCTGGAAGGAAGGGGCGTGTATAATCTTGGTCAGCGGGTGGACACGGTCGAGGAATATCTGCCAGAGGCGGATCAACTGGGCAGCCGTGGGCCGGGCGTTTCCCTCTTCGCGATGCATGATCCTCTCGCAGTGGTGACACGCCCCTGAGTCTTCATGCAAATCAGTGCCCTCTCCCTCCTGTACGATGTGGCCTTCCGAGCCAATGATGCTCTGCATGGCCTTGATCTAGAGATGCAACAGGGCATTGTTAACACAACTCGGTTGAACGGAAGAGAGTGAGGAGAAGTGAGCAGGGTGGTTGGTTAGGCTTGCCTCGTCCGACACCATACCCCAGACCAAGCTGTCCGTGAAGCGTGTTGAGCCATGATCATTAACGAGGCGGCTTCTCGGAGTCGAACTCCAGTCCGGCTCCGACGAATGAGCCGTCAGCGAATCCCGGAAGTCGTCGAAGTCCGGCAGCGTCTCGATCCCTGGCGAGTGGTTGGGCGGGGGTGAGTCCTCCCCAACCGTGGACTGCGCGGCCGAGGTCGAGGGCGTCGCGGCCAGGTCCTGGACGCTGGTGAACTTCTCGAGCAGGATCTCGCAGCGGGCGAGCCTCGTCCTGAGCTCGGCGTTTGGCTGCCGCTTCCTCCGCGGCATGGGCGGAGGGGCCGGGATGCACGGGACGTCGGCCTGCTCTCACCAAGTCAGCCCAAACCATGTCTTGCATGGAGATGCGAGATGGCTGAGACGGAGACGGACCTTGACGCAGTTGCCGCAGGGCTTGTTATGGTCACATTTCACTTTGCGTTTTTGGCATAGGCTGCATGCGAGAGCGCGGGGCGCCGAGGCTGAGATCGGGGTGTGAGCGCCCGACATGGCGAGACATCTAGTGTGTGAGAGCTACGAGGAGAGGTGAGTGAGTGAGTGAGTGCGTGAGTGAGCGGGTGGTGAAGGCGAATGTGGCGGTTGATGTCACAGACACCATCCTCCATGCACAAGAGGAACCGAGCCCACGGAATCACAGTCGGACTATTCTGGCCGTATCAGGTCATGGGACACGGATGATTGATTACCTAGGCTTGAGAAAATTAAAACTAAAAAAAAACCGTTGGGATTGATCGATACCCGCTCGTTCCGGTGCAAGTGGAGAGAGAAGCTTAATAATAATAGCAACACACTTCCAGTCTCTCTTTCATGCAACAAAGCTGATTATAAGCCATGGCTTGTATGAGTCATCACCGGCTTGTTCGGACTCCGGGATCCTATCTGGCTGCACAGCCTCGTTGTACTCGTAAAGTAATTGAAGCCTAGTGCCAACTTTTGATACAAACAAAATCGCCTTTGAGAATGAGTTCCTATAAAATGCAAAGGAGCTATCTAGGCATTTCAAAGTGACCTGTCTGTTGTATCGGCGAGCTGTCGTGAACCCCCCCACAGTGACACCCCAATCTTGGCCAAGACTTCACAGAGATGGGAGACCGACGTCGAAAATGGACATACTTCGTATAAATTTCTCCATTTGTTCCCCTCGACGGTTTCACATTTACCCCATATGAATTTAAGCTTATATCTGAGCATGTGTGGCAACGTGGGGGCTAACTAGTGACTACCTTTGCTTTCTTGGCACTTGAGGTGCCGGTTTGATACTTTGAACTTTAAACTTCCTTAGACATATTTCATTTTCTTAGTATAAACCAATTTCTGGCCCACGGGTTCGGTTCCCGCCGGCTGACTGCTGCCTTGGCATATGAATTTCATGCCTCTTGCAATTGCCTGCTGGGCTGATATTGAAGCGTATGTTGAATCGCTGGTGAGATTCGATTATTCTCTAGTAATTAACTGAGCTCTCACAACTATTCCAAGCCTCTGAACGTCATTGGTTCTGGAAGTTGGCCATTATTTGTTCGATTGTTGGGGAGTTGACCTTTTGACCCGGTTTGGAAGAGAGGACTTGCCCTTTAATCAAATCGACTATCAACGCAAATTCGATTCATGTTCAACAGTAAATATGCGAAAACTATCGGCTCGATATACAAATCTTGGCAATGTAGCATCTCCCCACAGAATAGCCAATTGAGGAGTGCCTTATTTTAAACGGTTGCTGGCACCACCCCAGGACCGATCTGTTCTTGACGGTCATAGTAGACACCCAACGCCTCAATTTACCCGCAGCACAAACCTCCGTCATCCTTAGGCTAAGCTCATATATTTGACCAGAACAAACACCCTTGGATGGACAATTTTTCCGAACAGGATGTGAAGATAGACATAGCAAGAAGAAGAGTTCCGGTCCCGAATAAAAGCGATGGCTCTAAAGAAAGTAGGTATTTTATGTGTGCCTGTGAATATTTCCCTCTCCAAATCTTCAGTTTCTGCCCGCCATGAGGCGCCTAAGACTTCTTCTGCTAACACTATCTTTATTTACCTCGATAGCCCAAGCCCAAGATGACATGGGATTCAAAAATGGAGTGGTGGATTTGAATACGGCCAATTTCGACGTCAAGCTCGTAAAAGACTCGGGCACTCTTGCATCTCTCAGACCAGCCGGAAGCGACTTTGATTTTCTTCCCTACGACTACCTTCTGCTAGACCGCCGCGTCCAGAATGGAAGCTACCATTGGGGCGACATCACCCTCCGGTATCGTGAACGCTGTGGAGGGAGTTGGTCGGATGGCGACTCGGCTGCGCAACGAACTCCGGTGACGTGGCTTGAAGATGGGGACGCCCTGGCTACGACGAACCTCTCACCAACTATGCAGACCGGCCCGTTGAATATCACTCGCGAGTGGATCGACGTTGAAGGCGACTTGGGGTTGCAGTTCACCATCGCCAACACGGGGGACTCTAATGTTGAGCTCGGCAGCTTAGGGTTCCCGGCTGCCGTGAACAACATCTTCACCTCGCGTAAGAGAGAGGACATGTACGCGAATTGCTCTTTCATGGATCCTTATGTAGGGCTCGACGCTGGGTACCTCCAGATTACGCCCATCAAAGGGACCGGCGCGGCTCTCGTTGTGACGCCAATTGGAGATACTCCTCTGGAAGCCTACAGGTTTCTACCTGAAGAGAGCCGTGGCGGTACCAGGATCGAGTCAAACGGATGGGAGGGCTACTACGAATGGCAGGTTCACTCGAGAGCGTGGGCTGCTAACGAGTGGAAAGATGCCCAGCCTTGGAATCATCCAACATCTACCGTCATCAGGCCAGGCGCAGAGCTCAAATACGGAGTTCGCTTCACAGTGGTCAAAGAGGGAGTCAGGGAAATTGGTAGCGCACTGAGAAAACTTGACATGCCCACAGCAGTCGCAGTACCAGGGTACATTCTCCCTCGAGATATCACCGGCCGCCTGAATTTACAATACTCCTCAAAGGTATCGTCCATTGGAGTAGAGCCCGCTGGCGCCCTGGTCGTGACAGGGCAAGACGAGAACAACTTCTCTGTAAAGCCGACCGACTCGGCCTGGGGTCGTGTGCTTGTAACTGTGACATATGGGGATAAAAAAGTCCAGACGGTTCATTACTATGTCACGAAGAGCGCCTCGGAAGCGATATCTGACCTCGGCCGGTTCGTTACCAGCAAACAGTGGTTCGATGACGATTCGGATCCTTTTGGTCGTGCACCATCCCCCATGGGATACGACTATGACACAAAGACCATCGTGACTCAGGATCAGCGAGTCTGGGTTGCCGGTCTAAGCGACGAAGGCGGCGCCGGTGCGTATGTTGCCGCCGTGGTGAAGCAGGCGTTTCTTCCAGATGCCGAGGAGGTATCAAAGTTGGATTCGTTTGTTGACAAGGTGCTCTCCAAAACAATCCAAGATGGAGAGTACGGCGTGAAACTTTCGGTCTTCTTCTACGAGCCGGAGGCTGTGCCGGGCTACAACTACAGCACATCAATTGACTGGAAGAAAGGCACATTCAACAAAGCGAAGGGATACCAAGTAACCCGGGCGTACAACTATGTCTGGCCGGCGGCATCATACTGGGCTCTGTATCGTGTGGCGAGGGCATATCCTACAGCCGTAGGGTACGAGTGGGAATGGTACTTAGACCGCGCGTTCAACACTGTGATGAGAGGAATGGAAGCTGATGTGGGCTACAACGATGCGGGCCTCATGGGAGAAACAGTGTTTGGAGAGATACTGGATGATTTGGAGAGGGAAGGAAAGAAAGCAGAAGCTGGGCAGCTGGAGGAAGCCATGAGGGCCCGAGGAAGTGAGTGGGTTACCCAAGAGTATCCATTTGGCAGCGAGATGTCGTGGGATTCGACTGGGCAAGAAGGGGTGTACTACTGGTGTCGGTGAGTATCATTAACCGCCCATTCTTGCTCGTAGATATGCGCTAATAAGCGTGATGACTAGACGATTCGGGGAGACGACGATGCAGCACAAGACCAGAGACACCATTCTCGGTTATATGCCCACGATCCCCCACTGGGGCTACAACGGGAACGCGCGCCGATATTGGGATTTCAGGTGAGCCAGTTACAAGATGAAAACGATGTGCCGGAGATGTCTTGACTTTACTAACACAGCGGGTAGTGTCACTGGCAAACTCCAAACCGTAGAACGGCAGATCCACCACTACGGCTCGGCACTGAACGCGCTGGCGCTTCTCTCATCCTTCAAAGATGACCCGTCCGACTCTTACCTCATCCGCGTGGGCTACGCTGGCACGATGGCGCCTCTCTCAAACATCCATGAAGATGGCTTTGCGTCTTGCGCCATGCATGCACGGCCGGAGCACCTATCATGGGATGGCTTCAGTGGTGACTATGGGCCGGGATTCGTCGGTATGGCATTGGGGTCTGGGACCTATCTGATCGACGATGACCAGCTTGGTCTTGTCTCCTACGGCGGGGTCCTGGAGGTAGATGAGAGGAGAGCGAGCGTGCAAGTAAGGGATGCGGTGAGGCAGAAGATTTTCATTGGGCCACTTGGCTTGGAGGTCAAGATTGACGCCGGTATCATCCAGAGCTTCACCTACAATTTGGACAGTGGCGCCGTATCGATCAGGTTGGGACAGCGACCAGGCAGCCTGAAGGCGGAAATGATTTTGGTATGGTCAAAGCACATCGTCAACGGGTCCAGCGTGGAAGAGGTTCTGTTTGATGTAGATGTTGATGGTGCTGAGGTCAAGGATGAGAGGATGGGGAAATTGGTTCCGATGGTGGCGGATGAGGTGACCATCCATATCAATTGAGAGGAAGGGGCAGAAGTGAAGTTTGAATCCCAAACAAAACGGATGGTCTATAATGTTCACATATCAGTGTCTGATGGCAGTGTGAAATAAGTTTGCCAGTGAACCGGATCTTCCAATTGAGTTGAAACGGGATTGGCATGTGGAGTCGAAGCCACTGAGACCGAGACCCACTTGAAAAAGGTACCAGTAACTGGGTGACATAAAACAAGACACACGGGCCGTTAGCATTGTATCCCAACACAATAGCAGCGGAGTCTATCCATCTATCAATACAAATCCATAGAACAATTTACAGTCTGAACCTCCTATTTTTGTCTATTACGGTCATCATTATTGAAAAGTACTGCATATACTCTCCATACTTTCATTCCCAAGTGTGAGCGCGAACTTCTATTGTCTCACATTTTATGTCACCCACCTGCATCATCCGGACAATTGACGCCCCACCATCGGAATTTCACCGGCCCGTCCCCAGTCAATATTTTTCTGGCCCGCCAAAAAGTTTCGACGGCAGAAAAAAAGATATCGGAGAGCAGCTTCAGCAGGCGACAGGCAATTGCGCCTTCTCACAGCACAACTCAACTCTGTACTTGACGCTGTCAGCCGTAAGACTGGAGGACAAAATGGCTTCCGGCTACAAAATCAACAAGCCGTACGTGCTCGCCACTCTACCC